CGAAGGAAGTTGGATGTTCCCAAAGTGCTGTATCAAAGCACATTAAAGGAACATTGATAGTCACCTAAATTACTTTAGCTAAATAAAGCAGTTTTAGTTTATAGATCATTCCCCTGCAATTTAACTGCTCAATTCACTATCATTTAGGAGTTAAATCACTTTGTTTCTGTTTATGCAGCCCTAGCCACACCTCCCCTGTCTATGATTGACAGAGCCTGCATGGAAAAAAAAAACTGGTTTAATTTTCAAACAGATGTAATTTACCTTAAATAATTGTATCTCAATCTCTAAATTGAACTTTAAAGGACCACTATAGTGCCAGGAAAACATACTGCCCCCACCCTCAGGGACCCCCTCCCGCCGGGCTCTGGGGAGAGGAAGGGGTTAAAATAATGCTTCCCTATGGACGCTTGCGTCTTCTCACTGTGATTTTCAAGTGAAAGCCACTAGAGGCTGTATTAACCTGGTAGTTTCTCTGAAACTGCTATGTTTATAAAAAAAAAAAAAGGGTTAACCCTAGCTGGACCAGGCACCCAGACCACCTCATTAAGCTGAAGTGGTCTGGGTGCCTATAGTGGTCCTTTAATCACATACAGGAGGCTCTTGCAGGGTCTAGCAAGCTATTAACGTAGCAGGGGATAAGAAAATCTTAATTAAATAGAACTTGCAATAAAGAAAGCCTAAATAGGGCTCTCTTTACAGGAAGTGTTTATGGAAGGCTGTGCAAGTCACATGCAGGGAGGTGTGACTAGGGTTCATAAACAAAGGGATTTAACTCCTAAATGGCAGAGGATTGAGCAGTGAGGCTGCAGGGGCATGTTCTATACACCAAAACTGCTTCATTAGGCTAAAGTTGTTCAGGTGACTATAGTGTCCCTTTAATAGAAAGTTATGTGGAAGGGAAAAGTGTGGAAGAAAAAGGTGCACAAGCAGCATGGATGACCGCAACCTGGAGAGGATTATCAGGAAAAAGCCATTCAAAAGTGTTAGGGACTTTCACAAGGAGTGGACTGAGGCTGGAGTCAGTGCATCAAGAGCCACCACACACAGACGGATCCTGGACATGGGCTTCAGATGTCGTATTCCTCTCGTCTAGCCGCTTATGAACAACAAACAACGTCAAAAGCATCTTACCTGGGCTAAAGAAAAACAGACCTGGTCTGTTGCTCAGTGGTCCAAAGTCCTCTTTTCTGATGAGAGCAACTTTTGCATCTCATTCGGAAACCATGGACCCAGAGTCTGGAGGAAGAATGGAGAGGCACACACTGCAAGATGCTTGAAGTCCAGTGTGAAGTTTCCACAGTCTGTGTTGATTTGGGGATTTGGGGTGTTGGTCCACTTTGCTTCATTAAGTCCAGGGTCAGCGCAGCCGTCTACCAGGAAATTTTGGAGCACTTCATGCTTCCTTCCGCAGACGAGCTTTATGGGGATGCTGACTTCATTTTCCAGCACTGCCCACACTGCCAAAAGCACCAAAGCCTGGTTCAATGATCGTGGGATTACTGTGCTTGATTGGCCAGCAAACTCGCCTGACCTGAACCCCATAGAGAATCTATGGGGCATTGCCAAGAGAAAGATGAGAGACATGAGACCAAACAATGCAGAAGAGCTGAAGGCTGCTATTGAAGCATCCTTGTCTTCCATAACACCTCAGCAGTGCCACAGGCTGATAGCTTCCATGCCACGCTTCATTGAGACAGTAATTCCTGCAAAAGGGGCCCAAACAAAGTACTGAGTCCATATGCATGCTTATACTTTTCAGAGTATTTCCGATATTGTTCTATGTACAATCCTTGTTTTATTGATTGCATGTAATATTTTAATTTACTGAGATTGTAGAATTTGGGGTTTTCATGAGCTGTAAGCCATAATCATCGCGCTTATGACAAATCATGGCTTGAACTGTCTTTCTTTACATGTAATGCGTCTATCTCACATATTAGTTTACCCTTTTACATTGCATTACTGAAATAAATGAACTTTTGCACAATATTCCATTTTTTGGAGTATCACCGGGACGTGTGAGGGGCACAGTGTGTTGGGTGTGCTGTATGTATGTGTGATGGATGCATGTGTGTGAGGAGTGCTGTGTGTGTGTAAGAGGGGTGCTGTGTGTGTGACGGTGTTCTTATCTACTGTCACATTCTATATTTCTAATTTTCTTTATCTGTTAACTCACTGAGGGTTATTTTATATATTATACATACGTGTGTGTTTGTGTGTGTGTGTGTTTGTGTGTGCTCTGTATATGTATGAGAGTGTGCTATGTGTGAGAATGTGTTGTGTGTGTCTCAGGGTGTTGTGTGTGTCTGAGGGTGCTGTGTGAGTGAGGGTGCTGTGTATGTCTGAGGGTGCTGTGTTTGTGAGGGTGCTGTGTGAGTAAAGGGTTGTCTGTCTGTGTCTGATGGTGCTGTGTGAGTGAGGGTGCTGTGTGTGTCTGAGGGTGCTGTGTGTGTGTGAGGGTGCTGTCTGTGTCTCAGGGTGCTGTGTGTGTGTGAGAGTGCTGTGTGTGTGGCTGTGTGTGTGAGTGTGCTGTGTATGTGTGTGAGGGTGCTTTAAGTTTAATAGCCATCACAGAAAACAAAATTGCTACACAAAAGTATATATTTATATAAAGTAGACATCACAGTCTAGTAAAATTTGTTTTTTAAATACACACATATAACAAGGTTTTTTTAATGTGTATTTTGTAAAGCTGCTGTGTGCTATTCCTTGTCAAAATCCCATATTGTGTTCAGCTACATCTGCTGAGTACAACAATACCCCCATTGTATGCCCACTATTTTGGGAAGCTACAATGACATATAAGAGGCAAGACTATTTCAGTTTCCACCAGGGCCGGACTGGGAAAAAAATTAGGCCCGGGCATTTTTCAATCAGAGCTGCCCCCTAAGAAGGGCGTGTAGTGGTGCAGTGTGAGGGGTGCTGTAGTGTGTGTATGTAAGAGGGGTGCTGTGTGTGAGGGTGTTTTTATCTGCCGTCACATTCTAGGTTTCTAATTTTCTTTGTCTGTTAACTCACTGAGGGTTATTATATATATATATGTGTGTGTGTGTGTGCTGTATATGTGTGGGAGTGTGCTGTGTGTGTGAGCGAGGGTGCTGTCTGTCTGAGGGTGCTGTGTGTGAGTGAGGGTGCTGTGTGTGTCTGAAGGTGCTGTGTGTTGTGTGTCTGAGGGTGCTGTGTGTGTCTGAGGGTGCTGTGTGTGTCTGGGGGTGCGCTGTGTGTCTCGGGGTGCGCTGTGTGTGTCTGGGGCGCTGTGTGTGTCTGGGTGCGCTGTGTGTGTCTGGAGGTGCTGTGTGTGTCTGGGGGTGCTGTCTGTGTCTGGGTGCTGTGTGTGTCTGGGGGTGCTGTGTGTGTCTGGGGGTGCTGTGTCTGGGTGCTGTGTCTGGGGGTGCTGTGTGTGTCTGGAGGCTGTTTCTGGGGGCTGTGCTGTGTCTGGGTGCTGTGTGTGTCTGGCTGTGTGTGTCTGGGGGTGCTGTGTGTGTCTGGGGGTTCTGTGTGTTTCTGGGTGCTGTGTGTGTCTGGGGGTGCTGTGTGTGTGAGGGGGCTGTGAGTGTGAATGTCTTTTTTATTTAAATTTAAATATATTTTTTATTAATAATTAAAAATAAAATAAGTTATGCCGTGCTGCCATGGATTCGGGAGCCATGCTTCCTTCCCTGGTGGTCCAGGGGTGAGAGTGAACTCTAGCCTGCAGGCTAGAGTTCACTCTCGCGAGATCTGAGTGTTGCCACGGTAACCTGTCCTCTCCTGCCTCCCTCCCTCCCTCCCCAGCCAGCGGCCGCATCTGTGGGCCAATGAGGGAGATCTTTGATCTAACCAACGGCCCATGGAGGCACACAGCAGGGCTGGCGCTCGGGTAGTGCTGGCCCTGCAGGGGCAGGTCGGGGAGATCCTGTGATCTCCTCTGCCGGCCTTAGCCCACGGCCATCGCAGCCCACCGGGCATTTGCCGGTGTGCCCGATGGCCAGTCCAGGCCTGGTTTCCACAGTTCGAAAATTCAAAGATGGATTTGATGGACCAATTATTTTGGGGCATTATAGTAGTTTGATTGTTCAAACGACCACACAAAAGCCTTCCATTCGTGAAAGTAGATACTACAGGGTATCTCATATGGCATATATTGTGCCTTAACATGTCACCATTTTTTCACCATTATATGTCAAGGTGTGTGATTAACAAATACTTTTTTCACCAAAAATATTTTTCTGATCAACCACCCCAAATTATACTCCACTAACTCTTCTGAGTAAAACAATACCCCCAATGTATGCTTTTGACACTATTTTGTGACGCTACAGTGCCATATAGGAGACCTGACCATTTCAGTTTTTAGTATAGAATTTTGAGAGATGGATTTGCAGGGCCTATGTTTTAATTTGGGGCATTATAGCAGTTTGACTGTTTCAATAACCCCACAAAGGCATACCATTTGTGAATGTAGACACTCCAGGGTATCTCATATGGCATATATTGTGCCTTAACATGTCACCA